TTTGTGGTGGTTGTGTGTCTGTGGTGGTTGTGTGTGTCTTTGTGGTGGTTGTGTGTCTGTGGTGGTTGTGTGTGTCTTTGTGGTGGTTGTGTGTCCCTGTGGTGGTTGTGAGTGTCTGTGGTGGTTGTGTGTGTCTGAACCTCAGTCATTAAGTGGGACACATTAGCAGTTGTGTACTGTACAAACAGATGAACTCTGTGGTCCAGATGTTTCTGTGTCAGTCAGTGAAGGAAGTTATTTCCATCTGCAGCTGGAACCTGAAAGAGAACGAGCTGCTCCACAGAACCGTTCAGATCCAGAGTGTCCGTCTGAATCAGTCTCATGGTTTTGAAAAGTGTCCCGTTGTCATGTGTCTCTGGTGTTTCTTGTTTCCTGCAGCGAGGAAGCACACGAAGCAGGACTCCACCATGAACGAGGAGTGGAAGAGCATGTTCGGGTCTCAGGAGCCGGCCTCCACTCAGATCGCCACGGTAACCCCCCGATGCTGCGTTTAGGTGCAGGCGTGGTCGACCTTTACTGTGTTTATGCAAATCAAGAGCGTCTGGAACTGATCCTGTTTGTCCAGAGGCCAAAACACAATCTGCATGTCCACAGGTTCTTTAAGGACAGAGACAGAGAGACAGAGAGACAGTTCCTGATCTTTGTCCTTTTAAACTGTGGAAAAATGTCAAACCAGATATGATTAGATGTGATCAGGCTGCGTCTGGTTTTACAACCTTAACCCTAAGCTAACCCTTAACTTAACCCTAAGCTAACCCTTAACTTAACCCTAAGCTAACTCTTAACCTACCCTAACCTACCCCAACATTACCAAAACCTACCCTTACCTAACCTAAAGGCTGCAGCTAATGACATTGATTCATCTTAAATCCTTTTGTCTATAAAACGTCCTCGTGTCTCATTCGACTTGTTTTTGTGAAGTTTGTTATGAACCCCGTCCTCGTTTCACCTTCAGCCGTCTGAAAGTTACTGAATCGGAGCCAGATGTTTGTAACGAGGCTTCTTTTTCCTTTGTTGAGGTTTTTTCTGGTCGTAGAAGTTTTTTAGATTCTTTAAATTAGTTCTCACTTCTGTCTCTGAACAGTTTCAGGGTTTCTAAACTCAAGATGCTCTGTTGAATGTGTGAAGAACCGGAGCTGTAAAGTCATCAGGGCTGGAAAACATCTAGAAAACTGCAGAACCTCAAATGGTCTCAGGCTGTAAAATAAGGACTTGTCTGGTTTGCAGGCAGCTGACGGGCCGGGTAGTCAGGTCAGGAAGAGCGCCGCGACCCCGGCGGTGCCCGTGCTGCAGTCGGTGGTGAGCGGCCCCGCCTACCAGCGCCGCATCAACACCTGTAAAGCGGAGCTGCAGCAGCTGGTGCAGCAGAAGAGGGAGCAGTGCAGCGCAGAGCGCATGGCCAAGCAGATGATGGAGAGCGCAGAGTGGGAAAGTCGACCGCCGCCTCCCGGTAACATTAGAAATAAAATGACATAGAAACCAAGCGGAGCGTTAATGTCGCTGAAGGTGCAGCGGCGGCTCCGAACTCTCAGAGAGAAAGAATCATCTTCTGTCCCCAAATGAAACAAACCCTTTACAACGTTTTACCGACTGTGACGCGTTGTTTCCTCGTCTGTGTGTAACTGTGTGTGTCAGGGTGGCATCCTAAAGGGCTGCTGGTCGCACATCTCCACGAACACAAAGCCGCAGTGAACAGAATCAGAGTCTCAGACGAACACTCCATCTTCGCCACAGCGTCCAACGACGGCACCGTCAAAGTCTGGGACAGTCAGAAGATGGAGGGCAAGACCACGACCACCAGGTAAGACCTCCAGTCACACCTCGTCACCAAACATCTGGAACCTCCTCGTCTTTCCAAGTTTACGTCTTCGTCTTCTACGTGTCTCCTGTGTTCTTCCAGTCTCGTGTCCGTCACGTGTTAGAAACCTTGTGTCCAGAGACACTGACTCAGACATTTGTTCTCACATACGGAACACGTCAGGAACACGTCAGGAACACGTCAGGAACATGTCAGGAACACGTCAGAAAGCTGGACTCTGAGTTAACGGTTCTGTTGCATCGTCTCTTTCTTCCTGCAGGTCGGTGTTGACGTATTCTCGTATCGGCGGCCACGTGAAGACACTGACCTTCTGTCAGGGGTCACATTATTTAGCGGTGGCCTCAGACAACGGCTCCATCCAGCTGCTGGCGGTCGAAGCCAATAAACCTCCCAAATCCCCCAAAGTTCAGCCGTTCCAGACCAGGTGAGTCCACAGGTCCGCAGGTAAAAGTCTGACGTCTGACGTGTTCCCGACTGACCGTGTCCTCCGGACTCCTCTCAGGTCTCTGGACCTGCAGGAGGACGGCTGCGCGGTCGACATCCATCATTTTAACTCGGGCGCTCAGTCGGTGCTGGCGTACGCCACCGTCAACGGCTCGCTGGTCGGCTGGGACCTTCGCTCCAACTCCAACGCCTGGACGCTCCGCCACGACCTGCGTCTGGGACTCATCACCTCCTTCACCGTGGACATGCACCAGTGCTGGCTCTGTTTAGGTGCGTCTGTGTGAGACGTCGTTCACACATCAGCTGTGATGACGACACTGAGTCTGAACGAGACGTCGAGCAGAAATATAAATAAAATAAAAATCCAGGTTCTTTCATCAGGTTTATTATCAGAGTCTGTAAACTGGAAGAAATTCAAATGAAGATCTAAAACCAGCCTTGTTTCATTATTGTTAAAGTGACAGGACGTTTAAAACAGGTTTGTGCTTTTATTTCCTCTACAGGAACAAGCAGCGGCACCATGGCCTGCTGGGATATGCGGTTCCAGCTGCCCATTTCAAACCACTCCCACCCTGCTCGAGCACGAATCAGACGGCTGCTCATGCATCCGCTCTACCAATCATCTGTCATCGCAGGTCGGACGACGTCTTTAACAACTTCACACGTTAGAATGGAAATAAAGTGAATCTGTGTCCGTGAGAAAAAAACTAAGAGCAGACTCTTGTTTCCACCCCCACCCCCCATCCTCCCCCATCCCCCACCCCCCATCCTCCCCCATCCTCCAGCCGTCCAGGGGAATAACGAAGTGTCGATGTGGGACATGGAGACCGGAGATCGAAAGTTCACTCTGTGGGCGAGTTCAGCTCCTCCACTCTCTGAGATGCAGGTGTGTGTGTGTGTGTGTGTGTGTGTGTGTGTGTGTGTGTGTGTGTG